TGCTTTGTTCAAATCAAGTTTATCAACCAATTAGCTTAAAATAGAAAGTTTTTTTCCGATTTTCTTCGACCGAAAATGTACAATTTTCTTTGTGAAAAAAGTACGAAATTTACAATATCGAGATTAGTTTATCATCGTAAGCTTATTCCAAGCGGAGATTCTTCAATTGCATGTCAATGGTGAATGAGTTGCGAAAATCACATCGCCGGATATTTAGGATTTGGAATTTCGTCACTAAATGAACGATTTAGTTGTAAAAAAGGAGAAGGTTTTTTTTCTATGAAAATGAATGATTACCAGATTGGATAATGAGTTTATCATTTCATCAACTTTTTTTTCTCAACCCTTTTAATTCTTTACTTTATTGCGAAAGGAGAAGGATTGAAAAAATGGGAAAAATTGTGATGAATAAGAATGAGGAGAAAGAGTTCAACATTTTCATTTAGCTATTTACAAGTCGCTTTCTTTATCCAACTTGTTCATCATACCATGAATTAATAGATTAAGTTTACCTTTTTTTGTTGCTACTTTATCTTTGCCTAATTTCTTTTACCTTTGATGATAGGGCACAAATCAAGCTTGACTGATGATGATATAACCTGATTGATGCAGCCATCATTAGTTCCCTCTTTTTTTCTTCATCAAAGGATAAAGATGATTATTCCTATTCTTTTGATGAGAAAAATATTTACATCATGTAAATTTGTTTGGAAAGTTCAACTGTATCAAAGCTTGAAATACTCTAACGTAAGATGCATGTATTTCTGCAGTAGGCAGACATATAAAAACTTGAGAGGACTGAGCGCATGTCAAATAGAAATGGGGATAAAATTGTAGCCCTATGGATAGGGCGTCTGACTATCAAACATGTAACCCCGGGTTCGAGTCTCTCTCGGTCCGGTTTCTCCTCTCTTTCTCTCTTCTGTCATTCCTCTCTTAATGAATATTGTAAACAAGCATGGCTTGTAATTTGAATATGTAACATGTACACATTTGTAGTTCGTGAACAAGCGAACAGTGTAGCCACTGCGGCACACACACCCCTATTTGAAATAATAAAATAGGGAAATATCTTGAGCTGCTATCTACTGCCTACTACTGAAGCTAAGGCACAGGACTAAGAGCGATAAATAAAGAATTCGAGTACTCTGAGATACCCTCTGGAATACAATCCAGGGTTTGTGAGAGATCTTGGAAAAGGTGGTCATGTTTCGAGTGATTTAAAGAAGGTTTCAGCCAAAGTTATTGCAGATTGCAACAAAAGTATTTAATATGTTCAGTTCGGGTTTGAAACTAAAGCCATAGAGACATCGTTCACAATGATGATGTTTGTTCAATAATCAACTATTCAACAATCTGGAAAAGCTGATTGGGACAAAAATGGTCCGCATATAAAATAGTTTGACTTGATGGGTCTTCACTTTTGCTACCCGCAGCAAAACGACACATAATTTATCGAAATTGTAAGAAAGACGCTTACAGAGAATGGATTAGCTTTTTCAAATGATTTAATACCATAAATGGCAACACAAGCACACCATTTGATAATTAAGAAGAAAGGATTGGAGAGAACTGCATAGAATTAGGATAAAGATCCATAAGTGAAAACTAATTTTTGAAACTAAGATATCAAAGTAAATGTTCACTGGTTGTTGAGAAAAATGATGTTTGTAAATTAAATTGAAGCTTTTAATTAGAGGAAATCTGGTGAAAAATTAGGTTTTTTGACGTAGAAGGTAGGTCCAGCATAAAAATGAAGATTTTATCTATTCAATGTCTTGATCTTCCTGTTCAAAAACCTAGCTGCATGCAACAGATAGCAATGTACTTTAAACGCAACAAATCAATCTCAGTCACGTGATTACCTCGCTATGATTGAACGAAGAAGTGAATAATTATAAAATTTATTTCCTTAAAATCATTTTATTTCATTTTAAAAGCAGTTAATCAGATTTTACAATCAATTTAGGTTCAGTTCATTTCAAATTTTAAATTCTCGCTCATTTTGTGAGTGTTTAACTAATATTGCTTTTCATCGTCATGTAGTTGATAAATGAAGTCACGCGGTCCAAAGACGAAAATTTCTGCTCTTGAAAGCATAAATTCTCGCAGGAAACTGTCAGCATCGTCAGTCCTGTAACCCATCAAAAACCGATAAGGCGTACATGCATTGTAATAAAACGTCTTGACGAATGCTTTCAAATATTCAACGGTCAAATCCTTCGGTTTACCTTCGAAAGACATGCCAATAAATGTGTCAGCTTCGACAGAAGTGTTTTACATCTGGTCAGTAGGAATTTCAGACGCAGTAATTAACGGTTGCACAACTGAGTGGAGAGTATCGTTCTCTCCAACAATCGCAGCCTCACGTGGCCTAAACGTGTTGTTGACATGGAAGTCTTTCACATCGAAAAAGCAGTAGATGTTCGTTATGTTGTGCTAGCGTTTGAAATAAAGAGAAAGTGTAGCCGGAAATATGAATGAAAATATGAATTGTTGAATATTAACTATATTGTTTCAGTAATTATAACAGTTGATCTAACTGTAATGAAATCAACAGTTAATCAATTCTAATTAACGTCAGTTTGAGTGAAAAAGAGACACAAAAGAAAGGGAAACAATTTTTTTTGTTTGATGAGTACTGTTTACACATCAATAACATTGGAATTGTAAACAAAACAGGATGTTCAAATTAAGACAAAATTCGTAATTCGTAATCCAATTGTAAGAACAACAATAATATACCATACACTATTTAATTACTCTTAATTATTAATCAGTGATTAAATAGTTACACTGGTCCTTTCTTTGGAGGCATGCGAAGTTTCATGCCAGCATCAAAGTTTGTTCAGAACTTACATTATGAATTTTCGACCCAAATTTCTGTTGATAAATTGATATTATCGCATGGTATGAGCCTTATTTGTATTTACCGTTATTCATAATACTTTTATTTACCTTTTAGGTAATGTTAGAAAACAGTGGAAAATTTTTTTGATTTCAACTATAATCATAGCTTTCTTCTTCCATTTGGCCATCATAAACCTGATTAAGGACCAGATTGTAAAGTTGACTTGCCAAGGAGTTGAATCTGTGGGATTGTGATATAAGTTGATTCATGATGGAGCGGTGTACCTCAACCAAACCATCAAATCTGTCCATCATGTACTCGAAAACTCTACCAACATCCTCGTAAAACCGGTCATCAATTTCATTATGTCTGTCCGTTTACACAATTAACCTTTCCATCAAGTGAATCAATCGATTCATGTCATTTGCCTGGGGGTTCGGCCGAGGTGGAGGTGGAGAAGGACCAAGAATTGAATTACAAGCAAGACTTACTTCATTATCGAGGCCAATTTCACTTGTATCATCGGATGAACCAGAAATTGGTGAAGAAGAGTAATCCATTGATGATGCTGTTGATGAGGATGAATCAATGTCGATTTCTGTTGCCTCAAAATCCGTAATTACACGTACAGTTCGGTGGTAAAACTCTTCACATATAACAAAAATCATGATAAAATCAGTAGCAATGGCTTAGGCCAACTCTTCTCATCTGATTAATTTAATTTTTGTTAATGTTTACATTAATTACATACAGGTAATCATTAGACCAGGTTTATTGTTTTCTTATCGTATCTCATCTAGTTAATGAGCTTCAATATGGTAGCAATATCGTAATTTTTAACTACTTGTTGGCAAGCTCTTTTAAGCAGGTACTGATTGAATTGTAATAAATAATTGAAATCATTCATTGATTTTCATGCATTATGTATGAAAATGAAGCCACGTGTTTGAATATTCCGACTATTCAGTTTTTTCAATCGTTTTCACATTGCTACTCCTAAGATTATTGTTTTTAATTTTGAAACCTTACTTATCAACAACCCTTTAGTTAACTGTATATCATTTTTTTAATTTGTTTTCTCTTTTTCAGGGAAATGTTTGATGATAAATTAAATGATAGCAAACGCAAGGTTAGCTCTTATCACTCAACTGAAGCATAGCACTCCATCTATTGAATGAATAAAGAGATAATGTTCCAGAAATTCATTCAATTCACTTTACTTCTTTCAGAATTATTACACCCTGAATAATTCCCCTGAAATTTCATTTATTATATCATTAATAATAAACAAAAATTCTTCACGATGCTAGAAATGTGTGCTTATTCAAAGTGAACTAAAGTACAAGATCAAATAAGGAAAATTCTGATTTTGCATCACCGATGAGCTTGAATACATTCTGTTGTGATGTCAATTGCTTAAAAAAGTAATAAACCTTTGAATTTACTCACATTTGAACAACAATTCATATGAATTCAAGGCTCTTTTGATTGTTTACAAATGAATTGATTAGGGATCACATAATTTATTGTTCATTTCCTTCCTAAAAGATGGAGTTGCCTTCGTACTGGCAGCTTCAAGTTGTTAACATTTATTGCGAAGAGTAAAGTAAGGTAACCAAAGAGTAAGCTGTCTTTACTCTTTGGTTTATCGTTTAATTGAATTAAAGCAAATTTAGATAAATTTTCAACTTTTTTTGTGTCCACAAACAATCAAGATCACACTAAAACCCAACTCTGAACTGGAAACAAATATCGTAAACATACATGGACTAAATATTATTCAATCTTATTCAATCTTTTACAAGCTCGGCTTATCACACACAAGGACAATTCGCGATTTAAACTTTCATTTCTTTAATTTTCAGCCATTCATAATAACAATAAATGAAAAATACTCATATCGAACATCAATAGTTGATGTTTACTCAAGCTTTCCGACTAAACCAACAATTTTACCCTTGCTGAAATATTTGATTTACCCTCAGTTACTCTAACTGTTTTAAGAGTGATCTCAAACCAGGCGCTGTTGAAGCAGCCAATGAGGTGTTTAGGCGCAATTTCAATGCTGATAAGGCCAAAGAGGAGGATATTAAGTGTAATTTGGTGATGCCGACAATTAACCAAGTAACTGGTACATTTGAAGTGTCTCCAAATTGAAATGAATATCATTTTAGAGGTCTTGAAAAATATGAAAAAATAAGGATGTAGGAAAAACACAAGAGTAAAAGAGATGTGAATTGATAGTTAGATCCTGATCTAGTTCAATAATAGAGTATATTTAATTCACAAGTAAATAAAATTGAAGCGACTCAGGGCTTGAGGTAAGCTAGAGATGATAGGTCCATATCCTTGAGCATTGTCATACAATTCAAATAGCGGTGCAGCTACCAATTTATAATTCTTGGGAACAGCAAATAAAGCTTTCTCCGGTAGTTGTACAAGAAATAGTTTCTTGTGCTCTTTTGGTTTAGTTATGTGAGGAGGAACATAAGGATATTGAGGTGGCTCAAAATTGGGTCTCCACCAATTACCAATTGTATCTTCAATTGTCCATTCATTAGCAATACCATCTTGGCGACCCAATGTTTCAGTGAGTAAACGCTTAAGACCTTCAACCTCATCTTCTCCGGCTTTAAGTTCACCACCGGGTAATTTAAAGAATGTTGTACCCAACTGTAATAGTAAGACATGAGGAGGATATTAAGTGTAATTTGATGATACCAACAATTAACGGTAAGGTTTTACTTTTACGGAGAAAGGCGTAAACATTAAAAATCATCCAATGGTAGACGTTTTTTAAGAGCGCTCTTTATGAACAATTGAATTAAATGAAGCTAATTAAGGCCCCAGGCCGACCTAAGCCCACCCCAACCTTACCAAACCTAACCTAACCGAACCTAACCTAACCTGACCGACCAACCAACAGCCCCTTGATCAAACTTACCTAACCAAAAAATCATATGTTTTAATGTTTATGCCTTTCTCCGTAAAAGTAAAACCTTACCCAATTAACCAAGTAACTGGTACATTTGAAGTGTCTCCAATTCCTTGCCATGAGATTGTCCCAACACTGGAAAGTATCAACTTTGGTCTGGGTAAAAGATGTTACACTTTCTTTAGTAAATTGGGTAAACCAATTCGATCTTCACGTGATTTAAAGGTTCGTTGGTCCAGATTCAGTGATGAAGGTGGTGGAAATGGATTGTTGACAACCAAAAATGGTGACCTGATGACTCTTGAAATTGTATTTGGACGTAAACCAAACATGGAAGCTTTCACAGATGATTTGGATGCTTCAATATCTATTCACCAGTCCAATGAGCTACCCTTGAGTAGTCAAAAGATATCCAAATTAAAACCTGGTTACAATTATTTGATCACATTTGACAAGATAATTGAGAAGCGGATGCCTCCACCGTTCAGGACTGGATGTGATCAATATAAACAAACTATGAATGGCAACAATGAACAGGTTAACACTGGTAAATTAGTTGATGAAAGAAACTTCATGGGCATTGTTTCACCTCACTTGAAACCTCCTCAATCTAAATACGATTGTGTTGATCAATGTTTACTCACCTTGTACCGGCAAACTTGCAACTGTTTACCATCTGATATCAATGTTAGACGTGACCTGTTACGATCGAATGACACTTTTTGTACCAATGCAAAATGTCAAACATTACAAATCCATCGAGCTGAATTCTGTGCCACTCTACCTCGATGCAAACCCAACTGCGAAGATGAACTTTACAATTTTGAATTCACAATTACATCAACACTCAAAAACATAGAACCTCATCAAGACCAATCAATTATAACAACGGCGGAGCTGGTTATATTCCAAGGCCAATGGTTCCAAACGGTCAATTTCAATCTTATGGTCTTCAGGTGAGTTTAATCTTTTCAGAATTTATTTTTTATCCGATTTACTCAAGTTTCTTTTCTTTATTTACAGGAAGCTGGAACTTATCATGGATCTTTGAGTGAATCAGTACCTGATATCGTCAATGTGCTTGGTACACTGAGTAAAGCTTTTGTTACCGTTCGGAAGTCATCAGGGCCTGATGTTGTCTATGAACATCGTCCTCAATATAATTATTTTGATTTTGTTTTTCAATTAATGACTCTGGCCTGTGTTTGGTTAGGTTTCTCCATTTTCTCAATCATTTGGAAACCATTCTATATAATTTTCAAAATCATTTCATTTTGTTGCTGTTTATCTCGAAAATTACAAAAAACAAAGCCTCTAGTCACTATAGATTGAAAATGATGAGAATAAAATTGGAAAATATTGTTACCTGAATATTGCAATGAAATAAAATATGAATGATGATTCAAAATGATTCACGTTTTCGTTAATGCAATCTTTATTATCGATTTAGAAGGATGATTAGTATGTTTACCAACTTGGTAACAAGAGTTGAGTTTTAAGTCGGATACAAAAATGATGTAGAATCTCTGATAAAAAATTAGGCTCAAATTTTACATTTCTACATAGTTTATCTGGTCCATAAGATCGTCAATCTTATTTTTCAGGGTTTCAATGATCTCCGGGGAAACAAAAAGATGAGTTGCATCAAGATCTTGGTTGATGAACTTCGTACCAAGAGAATGCAGAAGAAACTGTTTCATTTGAGCATCGCATTCAATAAGAATGCCTTTCATAACATTAACCATCGTGTTCAAATAGGATTTGATTGAGCACTTCAAACGAACAAATTCAAGGAAATAAAATTAATACAAGATAGTTGAGGTAATAAAACAGAACCAGGTGTTTATCAGATGCAAGTGATCGGTAAAAAAAGTAAACAATCAAAACCACAGCAACGCAAGTTAAGTCAAGTTTGCAAATGCATTAACATAAAGTCCCATAATTTATCCTTACAGGTTATTACATTCCAATCTGAAATGCTAGATGGCGACATGTTTTGTAAGCATTTTCACTCCATTCGAGTTCATTTCGAAACTGATAAAGCAACAGCCAAAACAATCCAAATCTCACAGACAGTCTCTGAGACAGAGTCTTACTCCAAGCCTCACTCCAAGACTCCTTCCCAGTCTCTCTTTTCGCTCTCCTTTCTTTTACTCTCTACTTCCATTCTAAAGCTCTTTTTTCCGAAGCATAAACTCGAAGGAATATAAACTTTTCTGTTGTTGTTGTTAACCATGTGATTCTTTTTTCTATTTTTATGCGGGAAACAATCACAAGCACAGGCAATGTTTTCTATCAATCAATCAATTTCCACTTTTTCAACTCTCTTGCTCAAATAACCAGTGAAATGCCTGAAAAAGTGTCGCATTCCAGTGATTACCATTATCATCGTTAGCCAACACAATAATAACCAATATCACCGTTCAAATTGTTCATTTGGATCATCAAATTACCCAATTATCAATTGAAGGATAGGGAAGAAGGAAAAGCAAAAGTGAAATGCCCAGATCGTTTTTGGTTAAAAAAGCAAAGCATTGTGATCATCACCACCACCACCACAACCACCACCACCGACATC